CCCCCCCCCCCCCCCCCCCCCCCCCCCCCCCCCCCCCCCCCCCCCCCCCCCCCCCCCCCGCTTTGATCAAGCGCTCACACCCATTCATCGTAAACAGCTAGCATCTGAAATCTTTTTTATCGGAAAGAGCTGCGTCTTGTCTCGATCAATGGGATTGCTTAGAAAGTTCTGCTAAATCAAATCATCGTACGATAGAAGAACCAAAATTCATCATCGCTATAAACATGTGCTCCTGTTTGTGTTTGTTGTATTCAATTCATAAAGACGAGAGCGATTCGCCGAGTCATTTGAAATTCATCGACCATTAACTTTACCTATTCGCGTGCATTTTTTTTTCTATAAAAATCTAAATGAAAAATGCAGACACTCCAAAACAATGTACAGCTGCAACATAGATGATATTGTGAAGTGTTTTGCTCCATTATTTGCCTCAAAATATGAAGCTACATGGGAAAGGGAACATTTGATGGGGCGCGAAGATGTATAAATTTGAATATACTATAGAATTTGAAATATTTTATATTTCAATTCGTCATTATAAGCAATCAAATTAGTCTTCGACGTTTTGTTGTAAAGCACAAGAGTGGGTGTGAATTTGATCGTCTTTTACGTGAAAATGAGGCACACATTCACACCCAATCATTCACGCACACGAAAAACAAATTCACTCTGTATTGCAAAAAGCAACACAGTCACTTATTTTTCTATTCTGAACTTTATGTTTCAATGGTGTATAAGAATTCAGTGAAATGTGTGCGATGCTTTCAAGAGAAAGTCAACGCCGACTATTTCAAGGTAGATGCATCTCAAGTTGTTTTTGCATTTCATTTTCTACGACACGCTGCAGAGAAAGGCAGAATTTTTTCTCGCATCAGTTACCATTTTAAGGTTTGTAGTACTGTCTCTTTTGCGATGGATTTAATACTTGACAGTCATAGATTCTCGTTCTTCTATACTTATAAATAGAAAGCGTACGTATGCAATCGATTCTACGATAAAAATGAATCGAAATATTCATTTGACGTGATCGAGAAGAACATATTATCATTCGCAAACTGTAGTACAATTGTTCTTTTTTTAATTAGAGATATTGATACCTCAAGTGTGACGATATGGGAATGGGAAACAGTATCCCAAAACCAGTTTCACGGAGAGCGCGTGCAAATACAAATAATTCAATTAACTATTGCGAAGGAAAGACTGTCCAAAATTTTGTTCTCATTTGGTTAGATTCGACTATCGATATGATGCAACAAGACTGCCAGTATACTATGGCTGAATTATACAAAATCTATAATTCAATTACATTATTTACTGATTTGGAAGAGTGTCGTAAATTCATTGAAAAGCCACGAGATGAACAAATATTTCTTATTGTATCCGGAAAACTTGGAGAAAAACTAGTACCACTTGTTCACAAGTACGCTCGACTCGATTCCATTTATGTATTTTGTGGCCAACCGGATGCTCACAAATGGACTCAACAATGGAAAAAGATAAAACTTGTTGTCAATCAAATTGAACCTATTTGTGAAGCCCTCGTAATCGATGCTGCACAATGTGAAGAAGATTTAACCCCAACTAGTATTTTGCCGTTGAACGAATCTTCGAGTCAATCGTTAGAACAAATTAATGCGTCATTTATGTATTCGCAATTGATAAACGAAATTCTTTTGCAAATGAACTATAATACACGAGAAATAGACGTCCTGGTTGATTTTTGTCGACAAATTTACAAGGAAAATAAGGCTCAACTAAACATTATAAATGAGTTCCGAATTCATTATCAAAAGGAAACATCTATATGGTGGTACACTCGTGAATGCTTTGCATATCGAATGCTCAATCGTAGTTTGAGAACGTTTGATATTAATATTATTTCTATGATGGGCTTCTTCTTGAAAGATATTCACAATCAAATCAAAGACATAAATTCAAAAATATCCAAGCGAACCGGACCATTCGTCGTTTATCGAGGTCAAGGAATGTTAAACGAAGAATTCGAAACAATACGCAATAGCATTGGTGGTCTATTGGCATTCAATAGCTTTCTTTCAACCAGTGAGGATATGAATGTTGCTATGAAATTTGCACAAAAGTCTGCAGGTCGAGAGGGTAAAGCCTCTGTTCTATTTGAAATAGAAGTTGATCCAGCGTTAACATTGACTCCATACGCTTCGCTAGATAATGTTATTACGTGTCAACCCAAGGAAAAAGAAATTCTCTTCTCAATGGATACCGTGTTTCGCATCTATGAAGTCAAGGAAGATAATGATCATATCTGGAAAATTAAGCTGAAATCAGTAAGCGATAAAGACTTGGCAATAACACGATTAACCGAACAAATTAGATCAGAAATTGGCAAGGGGAACCCAATCGATCGATTAGGTCGACTAATGATTAAATTAGACGAGTTTGAAAAAGCTGAAGCATTCTATCAAATATTAGCTGAATCGACAACCACAGATGATAAGAAAAAATATGCTTGGATACGTAATCAATTTGGATATATTAGATATAAACAAGGCAGGTATAAGGACGCTCTCTCATTGTATCAAGAAGCAATGCAAATTCAAGAGAAATTGAATGATGGAAGGAATCTTGATCTAGCAACTACATATAATAATATGGGACTTCTGTATACAGAATTGAATGACACTTATAAAGCACTTTCATATCACGAAAAGGCACTTTCCATACGAGAAAGAGATTGCGATGTAAGCCTTGCAGATTTAGCCTCAACTTATAACAATATCGGACTCGTATATGATCAACGAAATGATTTTTCAGCTGCATTATCACACTATGAAAAGGCACTCCCAATATATAAAAGATGTCTCCCAGCCAATCATCCTTGGGAGGCTACGCTTTATAATAATATTGGGCTGACTGAAGTATCACTGGGCGAACACATGGTGGGACTTGAAAATCTGCAGAAAGCAAGAAAAATACGAAAAAGATCATTACCATCTAATCATCCATCGATAGCATCTGTATGCAACAGCATCGGTGATGCATATCAAAAAATAAAAGATTATCTAAATGCACTCAAATTTTATGAAGAAGCATTTGATGTTGAAAGTCGAGTTACGCATGTCAATTACTCATATTTAGCTTTAACTTATTACAGAGCGTCAAAAATATTGGACAATCTCGAACAACTTGATAAAGCGCTAGAATATGCTGAAGTTGTTGTGAAAACAGTTGACAAGTCATGCACACCAAATGATACAGATAAAGTAAGGTTTAAAGAACATTTGGAAAAACTTCAAGCATGATGATCATGACTATACTTTATAGAAACACGTATAAATCTGATTTTCCATCTTATCGCTATTCTCATATTCGCATGGAAATCTTAATTTTATTCATAAGTAAAAGAAAATGATCTTGTAGTTTTACACACTGATGTAAATAAAATTATGTCTAGAAAAAGCTTATGTTGCTTCAGCATTTCCAAAACTATTTTAGCTTTTTTTGCATCCTGTTTTCTGCATTAATTTGAAACGTAACATGCTTATTGGACTCTCACAGAACATGCATTATTTAGATGAGCGTGTGATGGTAACCATCATGTATATTGGCGTGCGAAGATGAAGCGGAAAGATCAAGAAAAAAATTGTGAATACAATCCCGTATTTTTTCATGCAGATGTATCCATCAGGCCTATTTGAATATCTTTCACAACTAAATACTGAGGTTTTTTCCTACAATATATTTTTTATACATTTGAATGTTTTGGCGTACGTCAAGCACATGCGTATGTTACTTCTTTCTTTTCTCGATCAAAGAAAAAAAAACTGTTTCTAAAAAAAGAAACAATTTTCTCTCTTTCTTCCGACTTCCAGTCGATGTGGCTACCATCAACATGACTCCAAAAGAGCACATTATAAATGATGAAATCGTTGACGATTAAATTTGCCAAAAGAGCAAGATCAGAAATTATTCTTTGTTAGATATGGATCATGTTAACTCAATAACTAACGACAATAGTGTATTTAATCGTCAACCATCGATTTATAATGGTTCCACAACAAATTCTAACTTCAATGAAGCACTAATTGTCGTATGGTTTCGAACGAATTCTGCAGCTTCAAATGTAGACTTAGAATCGATTGAAAATAAAATTGAAAATAGCGCTGATTTCTTGAAAAACTATTATTCAGCAGAAGAGTGTAAAAAATATGTTGTTTCTTCTGGCAAAAATATCAAAATATTTTTAATTCTTCCGCAAGACTATCCTCAAGGTTTTCTTGAAAGTTTACACGATCTACCGGTATTGGAATCGATTTATGTTAATGGTGAAATTGATAAGAACGAAGATCTTAATCGCTACCAAAAAGTAATCATTAGTAGTCAGATTTCCTATATCATTTTAAAAAGTCATATACTTTAGATAGTCAAAACCGATACGGATATTGTAAAATTGACAGATGAATTATGTTCTGAAGTTTACAACTACATTCAACATATACAATTGCCTATGACAATTTTCAAACAACAATATCAACAAGATCAATCGACCAATGTACTTAATAAATTTGCTTATTTTGTTGAATTTTGGAATCCTTTATTTATTGATTTGTTATTCGATCTGCCACAAACAGATTATGATCAGCAAAAATACAAATTTCTTGAACAATGTCGCATATATTATCGAGCTAACGAAGCTATGCTGAAAAGTATCGATGAATTTAAAGATACTTACAAACCTGAATTTGCAATTCAATGGTATCAAGGAAACGGATTTGTATATCGCCTATTGAATAAAGTAATGCGGCAACAAAACATCGAGGGAATTCTTATGTTTCGTTTCTTCATCTTGGATTTATGTAATGCATTGAAAAAGATTTACCATGAATTCATTCGTTCACGTTTGTATGAAGACGATGAATCTATCACTGTTTACAGAGGACAAAAAATGTTCATCAACGAACTTGGCATATTAAACGAAACTTTTAAGCAAGGTTCGTTTATAATATCTATCAATAGTTTTTTCTCAGCCTCTCGAACCAAAAACGTAGCATTGGCATTTTCTGGCGTTATTGGGTCTAATAAAAAATCCCTGGATTTGCAGCCTGTTCTGTTCGAAATTGAAGTGGAAATCAATCAAAAAATGCAGGGACAAAGAAAACCATTTTCGGATATAGGTCATTTGAGTACTGGACCGAAAAAGAATGAAATAGAAGTAATATTCATGGTCGATTCTTTCTTTCGAATTGATAAGATTATTGAAAATCACGAAATTGAAACGTCATTCGAAGGCAAACAGGTGAAAGTTGTAGTAACACTGATTAAATTAACATTCATAAATGAAGATGATGTAAATATACCGATAATGCAAGATTATCAAATTTTAAAATCAACAAAAACAATCGAAGGTAAATTGATTCGAATTGGAAATTTACTCATCGATCAATCTTTATCTTGTGGATCGTCACGTTCGAAAGCAGATGCATACTATAGGACCTTTCTCAACGAACCAAAATTTCTCATGACTGCAGCATGTTTGGCAGGTCAAGCCTGGATGGCATTGAAGCAAGAGCAATACGATTCGGCTATCAAATTAGCACTCGAAGCGTTTTCCATCGTTGATGCATCCAACGTTGAAGTGAAAATAACTATTTTAAATTGCCTTGGTGGAATTTATTCAAAATTAAAACAATATCCCACAGCATTGAAGTATTACAAAGAAGCATATAATCTATCGAAACCAACCGATGATAAGATAGCCGCCAACAGCTATTCAGGCCCATGCGTTCCTATCGATAAATTTGCCATGTATGACAATTATAGAAACATATCGTCAATCAATATCGCTCGTATTTATAAAATAAATGGAGACACTCAGCAGGCATGGAACGTGTACAAAGAAGCCATAGATTGTGAAATGCGCGATACTACGGATTTTCATTGTCATACGTGTATGACAATAGCTGAATCGGGCACTCATGAAAAGATAAGTAATCCGAAAGAGAAAATTCGCGCATGGGAGAATGAGAAAAAATTTCTCGATCTTGGCCTTGATGATATTCTTAAATATCGTAGCTCAGCTTTAACGGGCTATTTATCACTCAATTATCAATATGATTTTTCTTCGCGTCGATATAACAATAATTATTGTCGAACGTTGGCAATTAATTATTTTCGAAAAGTTGAAAAGCAATGTTTACCATATGCAGCAAATCAGGATTATTATCTGTATACTTTACAATGCTATGAACGTCTAGCAGAACTATACAGAGACCGTGGTAATCAAACCATCGATTATTACGAAAAGATGATTCAATTATGCCTTAAATATCATCCAGATGATTTAGAAAATATTATCATCGGTTACCAAGGTATGAGAGAGAGTTACACACGGCAGCAGTCAAGAAGTCCGGAAGAGTACGAAGATATATTAACGAAATTATGTGCTGACGATAATGATCCAATAGTCACACCGCTAATAACGCCACCGATCACTCCGTGGAAACCTCCAGTATTTGGAAAACTTTTTCAAAATATAAATCATCTACATTTCGCATTTGATTACTATGACAAATGGATAGACTCTCGATTGAACAATGAATCGGATTTACGAAAGAGAATTATCTACTGCAATATGAAATTAGCCGCTTTATATTATGATCACAATAAAGTGAATGATGCTAAAGACTGTTTAACAAAAACTATTCTATTATGTCAACCGCTCGGTACAGATGCGCATGATATTCGATGCATTTGTAATGAAAATTTGTCCTTCATCTGCATGAATTTCGATGTCACAATCGAATCCTACAAAAATCGATTAACAGCAATTAAAAACATCGCCGGGGAATGCACTGGCGAAAACAATTATTGTTACATCGCACACTTATACGAGAAAAAGAATGATTTCAATTTAGCATTGGAATTTTTCCGAAAGCCAATTGAATATTTTGAACAATATGATTATATCTGTTCGCACACAATTGAATGCTATAGTAAATTAGCAAAGCATTATCAAATAATCCAAAATGATAAAGAATCCACGGCTGATACATATCAAAGAGCGATTCATCTTGTCGATCAACATCGGTCATATCCAATGACAACGATTATTTCGATAGTCGAACAAAATTTAATTAATTATTTCAAAAATATCAATGATTTAGACACAACTATTCTTATTTATGAAAGACTTTGTGAAACTGTTCAACACGAAACGAGCGATATTACGGTATTATATAAACATTTGAAACAAATTTTAAAACTATTAGTTGATAAGCATGATGCACTCGCTGCAGTTGTTGACACGTACGAAAATTTTCTAAATTTAACTTTACAAATAATTAGTCCATTAACTTCGCAAATGACTATGGTATTAAGTCATTTTCGAGATCAGTTTATTGCTGAATGCAAAAAACGCCATTGCTTACGTTTAGTAATTCAAATATATCAAAAATTAATTTTGCTTCTTTTTCAACATCAATATGATACAATGAAAATCATTGATGAATATGAAATAATAGCAGCTAAGTTAAATGTAAAGCATTTGTTAGAAGATGCAGTGATAGGATATGAAAATCTACTAGAGTTCGTTTGTCTTCATCATACGACTGGTTATTTCATTGAAGATGATAAAATTGCTTTTGTTTTTTGTATCTGGAAAGACGAAATAATTAAAAAATATTTATCGGAAGACAAGTTCGATTCAGCCATTAATTTACATTACAAAATGATTCGTTTTCTAGAGCAATACCGATTAAATATCAATACGGAGTATGATTTCCGTGAATTCACACAACGCATATTACAGAATTATGACGATATAGCTATAATCTATCAAATGAAAAAAAATGATTTCGATCAAACTATGAATATTTACCAAGAGCAGATTGAATTCATGGCGAAGTATCAACTAGAAACTATCCAAAGCCTTATTAACACAATCATTCCCAATTGTCAACAATTTGCTGCAGTTCATCAGGAACAAGCTCTAGAAGTATACTTGAAACTTGCTAATTTCATTCAAAAGAATCGTCTAGAGTATTTATCTCATTTATCGCTTGCCTGCCAAGAATTCAATCGATTAAAACTCGTTAGTGATAAAAATCAGCAGTATCTAGATTCAAGTGATGATGTTACCAATGGGAATGATTTGCCAAATTCATGGCGAATTGTTGATCTTAAACAACGTGTTTTTGACTATAAAGAAAAGACTAACTATTATTTCAATAATAATGAATTAGATAAGGCAATTAAAGTTTATCGAACTGAATTGTTACCATTTCTTTTAGAAAATCATGGCCGAGATGATGAGCAAATGGCTACATGTTACAAGCAAATAGCAACATTATACTACGGAGAAAATGAAAAGGATGCTCGAATGGCGCTGAATTATTATCAAAAAGCTATTGATATATATGAAACACAAGAAGACAATTTCTATACAGAACATGTCTTTGAATTAAATACGAATATTTGTCGTCGTTACGCAGGAATACTTTTTACTTGTTATAATTTCATGAAAACAATTTTTATCCTTTTAAATGATGAAAATTCGTCGAAGATTTGCCAACAAAAAGGAATTGATATCTATGAGAAACATAAGGATCAATTTCAGTTTTACGGTAATCTTCTAACGAACACAGTTACAGTTGAAATACGTCCTTTTGTTGAACTAAATTATTGATGTCGACTTGTTTAATAAATGTCTAATCAAAATATTGAAATTTATTCTATATGATCACTTGACGGACTCTTTTATAATATCTCTGGCATTGCCTAACCAAATATTCATCTAATATTATAAGTGCTAGATCGTACGGATATTTTCCCAAAACATTACAATTATAAATAGTATATTTTATTTCTAGAATAAATATCATACAAAGCAATTCCATATTAGAAGACCAACATGTGTGCTGATGTTGATATTTTATGATTCTGCTGCCTCCTGTTCACTGAAACATGGTTCACCATCATCATCCTTTATCGCTGTTGGCATTATTGTGCGTTCAGGATTTAAATCTGGTGATTGCATTTTACCATATTTGATATCTCTAGCTGTCATATACATATGCCATCTATCTGCATCGTGGTACCAAACGGTTTGATCCATTTTAACAGCAAATAATTGTGGTCCTTGTGCACTGATTGTTTTATAATACTTTGCGCCTGGTAACCCCTCTCCTCGTCTATTGAACTCAAGCTTTAGATCGAACCATGTACGTTCAATACCTGTAGCTATTTTAGGACAACAATCTTTTACAGCAATATACGAATATGTGCAGGTGTCGTCCGTCATGATAGAGATGAAGGAGTAAATAGTTGTAAATGACGTTATTATAAATGTTCTGCAGTGTTAAACAATTTTTTCTCTTGCCGTTCTTTTACTTTTCTTCCTACTGCTATAGGAAGGAAAAATGTATTTCTAAGTTGGTAAAAAAACAACTTATAAGAAACTAACGTCAGTATGAGCTTCTGATATAAAATTTACTTTCCAACCGCTTGATATTTTCCTGGAAGGAAACTGATGTTAAGTTATGGAAGCGTGTACGATATGTGGTTGTGACTCGTGTCGTTGCACGCACCCGTATTCAAAATGTATAGTCTAGCATCAAGGTCGATATGTTCTATTCTGATATCTGTTATAACATTGTCTCTATATACATTATCATGATGGTTTATTTGAAAAAGAAAGATATGACTGTTTGTATACGTAGAGGGAACCCTATAATTCATTCATATATTCTCAGGTGTTATTATCGAGAGAAAAGTTTCATCTCGATTTTTGAAATCAGATGACACATCCCACTGCCGATGCAAAATTATGTGTTTATATTCAATCATCACACGCATTCATCATGCGAAAGTTACGTTTAAGTATCAATTAATACTGGAGCTCGTAATTACTTTGTCGATGAAACTTTCAGCCACTTTCTGAGCCACGTTAAATCCAGGAAAGTTGTATTGAGCTCCCTTCGTATACCATTCGACAATACTTTGTGTGCTGATACATTGATAATCAAGGAAGAATTGGAACACAGTTGCTATTGTTTGAGCTATATTTCAAGCGAATTATTTCATCATAAATGCCTTTTTTTCTACCTGAATCGTTTTTATTGCAGCGATTATTCACAAAAATTTGCACAGCAAACACAACCGTCAGTTTTTCATCATCGTTGGTAATAATTTTCTTAAATACTGAGAGACGCTGAAGTATAATATGAACACTAGGCGAAGATTTGTTCTTATACCATGCTTCGAGAAATGACAGCACACTTCTTCTCAGGTCTGTACAAATTTTCTTTCCATGGAAATATGGAGCTAACTAAATCAGAAGAAAAATGAAAAGAATGATAGGAATGTTACAAGAAACTGGATTAGTTTTGTTGGCGAGAAAGTGTCATCACTGTCTTTTAGAATCTAGATTGAAGCCGAGGGATTATCTTCTGTCAGACTGATTAAGGATATAGGCGAAGCGAGCGATCTCAACTGCGCTTCGATCACATGTATAATTCGAGATAGCCGACTAATAGAATGGGTCTAGATATACATAGAACTCACGCACAGCAATGCGTTATGTGCGTATATTAAAATACAACAAATCGGAAAATTCTCATTGGATAAAGCTCTTCGTATGATACTACAGTTGGAATTTTATTTCTCGAGTAGTTTTTCTTTTATATCAGTCCAACAAGAAAATGATCTGGTTCGACTGTATTCGACTTACATTAGTAAATTATATCCAGATCACAATAAACTCTTTGACATCTTACTTTAAGATAATCTTCGAGAAGTTTATCACCGGCAGCAGAAACATCTTGAAAACGAGTGACCATCTGTTTGAAAGGTTTGTATTGGATTTGTTTCACGATCTGAGTCTGCATTGTTACGGTTGCTGAAAGTGGCATGTTCTGTGGCGGTAACTCACGAACGGCTACAATAAAAGTAACGGAAAACAATCTACTGTTGTCGATTATATAAGAGTACTGATTCTAGTGGATATGAGATGATGAAATCCCAGCTCTACGTTCTACGATATACTCGTACTTTTTTTATTCTTTTCGCGCTCATTGGATGCTGATAATATACCAGCTGTTGGTTGTGTTTGCAAAGTCGTTACACTAGTTGCATTATCAGCACTAGAACTATTCAATATAATTTGTTGAAGTCTTTTATGATCATTTTCCATTCGTATTTTCCATGGTATGGGTTCATCAGACTCAGAACCGACATGCAATGATGTAGACGTTGTATTGTCAGATTCAACTTTCAGTAGCACTGGGGAAGACTGAACATTTTTATTTTTAGTCTTGGGTAAGACTGGTTGTGTTTCCTTTTTATTCTGAGCTAATTTAATCTTGATCGGTACAGAAAAGGGCAGCTTTTTTGGCCATTGAAGTTTTTGCATGTTGTTTCTCACATTTTCCAATACTAATTGAAGGTCAACAAGAGCTTGTGAAGTGCATATGGGTTGTGTTCTCAAAGTTTTCAGCTTTTGTTGTACTTCAATCGATAACTGTGTAGTAAGTTCTTTTCTCACTTTATCCAAGCGTTTTCGTTCGGACTGAATCGATTTTATCATTGAAGAATATTCTTTCTCGATTTTTTCGAGTGCTACTGTTTTCCATGCGTGACATTCAGCTTCAGCACTTGTGCATCCTTCGTCTACAGACTGTGAAGCGATCGCAAGCGAGTCGGCAAGTTCGTCAGCTTTCTTCCTGAGTTCAACAGTGCTTTTTTTTAACAATGAACATCCATGTTCAAAGACATGAGAAATACAAAGACGCTTTTCACAATGTAAACAAATGGCTGCTTGTATACTTTCACAAGTTTCTTCTTCACACACCACTGTACTGAGGTTTATTGTCCGCATGATAATTTCACCTTTAGAAAGAAAGAAAGTATTTCAGTATTTGTCAATTGAATGTTGTTTGTGATAAGACTCTCTTTTTTTTGATTACTTTCTTTTCGTCCAGAACAGACAACCTCTATTTCGTAACAAAAATCCACCGAATCAGATTGTTTTTCTTGTTATGCTATCGCCATCTGAATATGACAGATACTTCACCTTGTAACTATTACAGCCCACACATACATTAGATTTATCTGACAAGTAACAAAATGCCGTCTGCTCATTTTTCGGAGTTTTCCCTATGTTTCAGCTCGTAAAGTGTAAGCGCATGTGGCGCCATCGATGTTACATGCATACGCTAGTTTCGTCTGCGTGCGTATTGTGTATTAGTGTCTTAATTAGAGCTCACAATCATACAATTAACAAACTCATGTTATATAATGAAGTTCATTATACCCAGGTGAATCAATCCGATACCGAATCCCATCGGATTCTATGGGGTCCTACCATCCAACGAAATCCTGTTGGATTCCTGGTTGAAGAATCAATGTCGGATCCGATAGTCGTATTTCCAATGATATCCGATTGTCGGAACCAATGAAATCCGAAGCATTCCGGTTCCGATTGACGGTTATTGTCGGATTTTATTAGTTTCCGATATTAGAATCCGATATCGATTCCGGAACCAGGAATCCGACGATAATCCGATAGTTTCCTTGCGCCTTCCGAAGAGCTCCATCGGATTCCAATAGGAACCGATTGTAACTCATCGGATCCTAGACTAGGATTCATTCTCCTGGGATAGTTCAAAATTTAATATTATTTTATTTGAAATTAAAAAAAAACGAATGAATCTAAAGAAACTATTAAAAGAAAAATAGTTCAAAGAGATGCCGATAATAAATTTTATCGCACTGTCATCATTCTTTGTCGCTCGACAATATCAGCAATGACAATTTCTTTCTTCGCCTGCACGGTTCCATCGCCGACATACGGTACAGATTCTGGATGATCCATATGGTATTGTCGTTGTGCTTTTGTTTTTGTCCAACGATCCTGAAGATCAATTAATTTCCATTGTTTAACACGACCGTCGGCAGTTCGACCAAATCTTGGATCGCTATCTTTCATTGATAAATAACTTTCATCGAGACTTAGTCGTGAATCTTGCATCGATGGTATATTTTCATGAAAAGCTAAATCTTTATAGGATTGTTGATAAGTTGAATGTTTTGCTAATTTTGGATCAACAAAACGTGCAACTATTTCTGGGCCAGGAAGACGTACTGGCGTTTTAACTTCACGTGAAAGTGGATCTGCTACTTGTAGATAGGGTGCAATGGATGTTTGTTTTTTCTCATAAAATTTATAGGCAAGCATATCACCTTTATTTTTAAACGGTGAATCATAAATACGATTCTCTGATCGTCGAGAATAACCATTTGTATGTTCAGTTATATGGTTTGTCGCATATAATTCATCGTACGGTGATGGATGCAGAAGTGGACCAACAGTAATATCATTTGATTTTTCTTTATTATTATTATTATTATTGTTATGATCATTAGTGTCAAGTGATAGACTACGCGTTGCTTTCATAGGATAACTATTCATGCTTCGTGCTCGTTCAATATTCGTATTATATCGTGTACTCATTAAACTAGTTGGATCAGAACGTGCGTCAGAAGACAAAATATTTTCTTGAAGAAACTTTCGCGTATTATACGAGTCACCATAGGTTGATTCGCGTTGAATAAATGGTGGATTACCTTCTTGAATACGAGTATTCACAGTATTGGCATCTTGTGGAACACGGCATTTATTGAGAAGACGACTCTGAAAAGAAGAATAATCATGCTTTGTTTTTTGTCATTAATTAAATTATCTAAACAAACCCGCATTTGTTGATAATCTTGAAAAGTTTTATATTGAAATAAATTTGGTTTTGATTTGTCTTGTGTTTGTTCACCGTAGTCTAATAGATCACCAAGATGATTGTCGTCTTTTAATAAGTGATCATTTTCTTGTTCGTTATTTTCTGATTTTTCAATATCCGGTATTGCTTGTACTAATGCATTGGGATCATAGGTTACTGTTTGATAGAGACCGGACCTTTCTTGAACATATGTACCAAGTTGATCATACAAGGTATTAACGTATGGATCTCTATATTGTGGTAATATGGGTCGACCATGGCGTGGAGATTGAAGAACACGAAATTTAAGATTAAGTAACTTAAGATTATCTTCTGGTCGAATAAGTTCTAATTGTTTAAGGCGATTTTCAGCTTCCATTTGTTGATTGCTTGCTTGCCGGTCACGCGCTATTTGTGGAACTCCTGAAGATGGCCGAAGATGATGAAGATAACGAATTTCAGATTGTGGTTCGTTATTATTAGTATTGGAATTTTCGGATCGAGCTGAAATGAAAATGATAGAATATAGTAGGAGAAGATAAACAAAAGGGCACATCTTTGTTTTCTTAAATCCTGAATAAGAGCAGACTAGAAATATGTGGAACTATATTTTTTTCGGTCCCGATACGATGATTTTAGATTATTCTATTGTCTGTGCCTATTTAGAGAAAATTGTAATTCAGGTCTACTTCATTGTACTCCAGAGTACGGAGGTATCGACCATAAGACCAGGGCTGGTTTTACATGTGTTACATATTATTTATTGGTAATTAGTCCTTCTTAACTTACGAATCCATGTTGGTGCTCGTTCTTTTGGAAACATATGAGCCGGTAAGTTTACATAATCAGTTCCGTTTCGCAATTGATCATCAAATTTTTCAGTTTCACTCATTAGGCTAAAGCACAAAAATTCCATAACGATAAATCTTTGATATATTTATGTTTACTGTATTGTTTCTGTTGATCCGTATTGTGGTAATGCTTTCTGTTTTTCTAATGCACTTGGTATGCGATGATTTCCATGAATTTGAGCAGCTTGTACGCCATCAATAGGTCTTGCTGGATCAAGTGTTTTTTTGAAATGTGGTTTCTATTTTAAATTATATCAAAACTCATATTATTTTTTCTTTTGTGTTAATTTAAATAAAAACAAATATTACTAAATATTCCGTTGGCTGAAGTTGTGCTGTTGTATCAAATACAACATGTGTACCAATACCTTCACCATAGGTAAAATCATTTTGATACGATGTTTCAAATGAAGCTCTTTCTTTATTTTTAACTATATGTGAGCCAGAATTTTCACAAGCACTATCATCATTTGGTACGAACATTTTTCTTGGCCAAGGATATATCGGGGATGAACTAACATCGCTTGATGAACGAGGTAACTAATAAAATCATAAGTAAAATATTTGATCGGGATCTTTATTATTATTTCAAATTACCTGCATATATTGTTTATCCGGCCATTTTGAAGTTTGATATCGTTCTCGTTGTAGTCCTTGATAATGCACTTCACGACGAAATGGATTACCTCGATGAAGTAAAAGCAATATTGACATATAGAACTCGTTGAAGTGAATACGAGAAAGAGAACGCAAGATAATGTCTTACCACGAACTTTTTGTGGCACCATATACGGATCCATGCTTGTCGAAGGATGATCATCAAAATTAGCACTTGAATTAGGAAATAGTGCTTTTTCGCTAATATGTGATGAAAACGGATGATTGGCTGGAAATTGCAATGGTATTTGGTGAGGCGTTACATCAACTGTTTGTGGTGCAGGTATTCTAGAGTATTACATAAAATTATAAATTGAGATTTAGGCGAGAGAGAGAGAGAAGACAACGATAGACCTACAATTCATCATTGATTCGAACATTGCTCAATGTAATATCAGTATTTCGATAATTTTGCTCGATTGGTTCACCTCTACAATTATTGTTTTAGAGTCGTGCTGTTTTTTTGCTGTCGAAATTCTTACTTGTAAAGATATGTTCCTGCTGGATGAGTGTGACTTGGATCACTAGCCAATCGATTGCGTTTCTTAGCAGTACCCCAATCCACGCCCGGCTTGACGAAATCATCTGCTGGTACTGGCTCAGAATTAAACAATACTAAACTTGTCATTGTAAAGAAACACACATTCGAAACAGAAACTGTTGCTTTAATGTTAACTTTTATTGTTTGAATATAAAAACAGAACTACAACGTTTCCATTACAACAGTAAATGGCGATGTTAAATAACAATTGGATTAGTTAATAGCGAGAAAAATAATAAGAAGAATAGAAGAAGAAAAAGAATTCTTTTAAAATAGATTGATTTTTGCTAAACAATTAGTAGAATATTTTTTTTGTAGAACGCTCGAAGAGAAACATGATTTGTTTTCCAATGAGGAAGTTTAAAAGCGACCCATGTGCCGAGAGAATACAGAATTACGAATGCATATCAATAATCATTTTTAATTAGCTATTGAATTTTATAAGCAACGATTTTTTTTCATTTTGACTACAAATATTTCTAAATCTCAAGATGTATTTTTATTAACACATTGGTTGCAATAACAACGTTCTCCTCTATGGAAACAAACAAAATTTTTCTTCGATGCATCTCAAGATCATTTTCATATGAACATAACATAAATTGGATCGGTACTGAACGTCAATGTGCACTCTGATTTTCCCGTAAATTTTAATTTTGTTACAAAAAAATCACAACCGGGAAACGAGCAATTTTTTATTTGTTGTTGTTTTTTTTTAAAGATAAAAATGATACAGAGCAAAACACACACACACGCGCGCGCGCGTACAAACAACAATGAAATTAAATCTTAATACATAGATACGGGTTTCTTTTTATTTGATACATAATACGACAGAGAGACGGGGGAAAATGATAATCTATACAAACTAGACCCGCAAAATATATCACAGATAAAAGAAAATATTAAAATTTTTTTGAATCATGAAAATGAAGGTGTCCTTGCTATTTCTTTCATATAGACAGGATCGTCTAATATTGATATGTAGGTTTTTTCTGCATCGGCATCTTCTTCTTTCATTTGTTCATGTAATGCTATTAAACGATACCATGTGATGACATCCGGATCGCCAATGACCATCGAAAGTGAACAGGCATCAATGCCTGTACGATCTTTTACTAAGGGATCAGCACCACGCTTAAGTAGAAGAATAATTGGTCTGGAAAAAAGAAAAAACAGAGGTCAATTTAAAATTGTTTGGAGCAAAATACCCTCGTCCTTTATTGGCTAATTGTGTTGCATAATGAAGTGGTGTTTTGCCATCCTCATCGGCTAAATTTATTTTTGCGTTATTTATCAAAAGAAATTCAGCAGCTGCAACTGATCTCTATATAATACGAAAAGAATTAGATAAAAATCGAAACCAAAAGAAAAACATACACTTAATATTGTTTGAATCAATGGTGTTCGCCCATGATCGTGCTCATTAAGAAAATTTTTATCCGCACCAAGAGTTAATGCGTGAAGCATCGTTGGAACACTACGATGACGAGCCCCTTCATATAAATATATATTCGCATTCCATATCGATGATAACGAATCTTAAACATATTCATTTGTTTTGGGTAAATTATCATATTTCGAAACAATATCTATATTATACCTGCTGTTAATTCATTTTCTAATACGCCGGTTAACCTTCTAAAATGCAAAACGTGTGAAATAGTCAAGACGACTTTTGATTCATAATGCTAAAGTAAACCTTGTTAATAACTGTCGACTATTGACTTTTAATGAATTTGATGTTCCATCATCATCATGTTCATTTGTAAGCGTCGCTGTTGATATTGGACCTTTCATCACAGACCATCGTTTAATAGTGCGTGTTGTTGAACGTATTTGATTCGATGCTGGTAAAGAACGTAAAAATGCTTTTTGCACATATTTTGCTTCGATATAAGATCGACGTGTCAAACTAAATAGAAATAAGAGTAATGACCGGATGACAGTGTCCTATGGAGTCGATAGAGACGACTGTGCTTGACTTATACGAGCTAAGTATTAATTACTTTAGTATGCACTCAGCATGATACTACCGCAATTATTCAATAGAAAACCTCTAATATAGCTGAAATGAATCATAGCCAATCAAATTTCAGTAAAAGATGTCTTCACTGTTGTCAGGGATTTTTAGAGTTTCTCTCATGAATTATTCTAAAAACATAATACAGAAGTTCCTAAGGTCGAATTAAGCTTTTTTTTCACTATCTAAAAAAATTGATCCAAATAAACTTTTTCTTACGCATCCGTTTCAGCACTTGGTTTTTTTACATTATTTGATAGATTTGCTTCATATATACTATTGACAACTGTATTACCCAATTCGCCCATCACAATTAATGTTTCTAAGTCCCATGTATCCATATGAAGTGAACGAACTTTTGAAAGACTAACACCGAGACCTCTGATAATGAGAAAGAAAAAAAATGCCATTCTCTAGTTATTGGCAAAGCAAATGTACAAACCTATGAGCACCACAACAATTCAAACAAAGTAAAATTCCTAGATTAATCGATGCCCATTCAGGTCCATCCGCATCACAATCGGAACATTTGTCATTGCCTGTAATTGAACGTACAAAATCGATCTTATCTTTAATCCTAAACGCAATAAAAAAAAGATAAAACAATGGCACATTTTTTTGTTCGTTACATTTCTTGTTTGATTTCATTTTTAGCAGTTAAAACTGAATTTGAACGATCATCAACATAAGGTTTGGGTAGCAACTAAACGCAAAAGAAATACTAAATGAGAAATCAATCTTTTTAACGAAGTACAAACTGTAAACGAATGTAAATTTCCATTATTGGGCGATTTAAATAAATTACTTATTGCTAATTGAAGCGAATTCACCCAATGATCGCATTCAATTTGTGAATCAGCTTGTAGAAGATGTGTACTTGAAGTTTGAAAAAACGAAGATAAACGATAGAGAATTAATTCCTAGATTTTTTTATACCTATTTGGTGAAATAATTTCAAAAACAAATCGACGATCATGATCATTCGATGCGCGAATTGTACATAAACGTAGATCGAGTATCATTACGGAATATGAAGATTGTTGTTGTGAATTATCATTTATTGAATTACCGCTATTACGTTTCATATAAAGTAATTGACCATTACGAATTGAAAACCAGCGTCTACAACATAAGATGAGATTTTTGGATTTTCTAAGCAGATTGAAATTTTGAGTCTATGAATATTTTTCAAATTGCTACCCAAGAATTCCATGAAGACTGAATCGATAAGTTAGGAAGAAAAACGTATTCTTCGTCGAACTCATTTCTACCGGCAGGTAAAATCCAGCTCGGAGAGAGTGCTCACTAATCAATTGAATAGACTCGAGAATTTTTGTTATGAATATCGGATAGCAGTAGGAAGAATATTTCATCTTAGGATTAGTTGACTCTATCTTTGACTGCATTTGTCTTGAATTGATCAAATAACTCCGCATTGCTCATAATCTGTTCTGCGGTTTCAATGAGAAAAGTTTACTAACCTATTCCATGTTTTGAATTTATTATGAGAACGTTTAAATAGATAACCTATACAAGAAAACAATACAAATTTAGTTTGCCAAAGATTCAGCATTCTCTAATGTACCCTCTTTTGTTGCTTCAATACCATTTGTTAATGTATTTGTTATATTCGATAAGCTTTGTTGTGATGGATTTCTTGATAAAGTTTCTTTTGCCTAATAAATCAATAAAATATAACTTCAAAATAAACCAAAAATTTTCTCTTACTACAGATAATGATGCGTCTGTTGATATTCCATCGTTTCGGTTATCGTCATATTTCAACTAGAATAACAAAAAAAACTTTGATAATCTTCTTATGACCGAATAAAATATTTCAAAAACAAAACGACAAAAAAAAAGAGCTAAGCATCATGCCCTAGCTGTTTTTCGATTAGAAAAAAAAAGGAAGAATGCCAAAATCCACCAGCCATACAATAACCTGTCGTGCATAGTGCGATGATGATAGTATCGATTTTATTGGAAAACATGTCGTCGTATCTCCTGGTGTTGAGGACTACAAAGTTCGTAAAAATTACAATATTACTACTGTTTCTATTATACTAATTAATAGTAATACAACAAATTTTAATGGAGAAATATTTAACGTAAAATCAATCGCATGAGAACTTACTCGTCTTTGATTTGTATCGTGAACTTTTTCTAAAATTTTTTGTTTTTGAGCATTTTCTTGTCTCATTCTAGTTAACTAAAATATCAATAAAAAATTCATTGAAAGAAAAAATCCTTAGACTTTTACTTCTGTTGTAATTGAATTAAAATCTTGTTCAGTATCTATAGATAACAATTCATAGCCCTGATGAAAAAATGCTTTGTGAAAGTTAATATACGATAAAAATAATTCGATCAAGTCAACTTTATGTTGATTATATAAAACATTGATTTGATATGTATAATCAATTGATGTATGGCCAAAACAACTACGTGTAGCTGTTAAAATTTTACTGGCATCTTCACATAGATGAGCTAGAAATAAGAGATTCAATGGATTAGAAGTTTTAACATATACGAAAATTTCTTGCTTGATTTAGTATCTATAAAAACGCAAGTGCTTACGATTCAAAGGTGAAGTATGGCAGATATACTTGTAGGAGAGCGTTTATAAACGTACTAATTTACAAGAAAATGCAATAACAATTAGATTCAGTACACCAAACACGGGTGATTGTGTTTGAGTGATTACACATCAAACGGGTAATCTTTTTTTTTTAAGATTTGTATCCAGATACTGGTGTCGATGATCCGGGATACTTTCAATTTTATGACTAACGGGCTGCACTGATTTTTTCGATGTTGTACAACAACAAAAAAATCTTTTTATGTCACTTACGTTTAGCTTTTGATGCATCGGCATTTTTTTGTAAAGCTAAATAATTGAAAAGAAAATAAAGATTTTCGTTTTTCGTGGAGATAAGCATTACCAATATCATAATCTGAACTTAAACGGTCAAATAATTTGCCTTGATCTTTGACTTTTTTAATATCTTCTTTTAACATACGTGTTAATGTTCGTAAAAGGCTATGTGATGTCTGTTCAAGTAAATTCTAATTAAAAAATCATCATGTTGAAAATAAATCAAAACAAATGAAATTTCCTACAGAAAAAAGTGTTTGTATTTCACGGAGATAATTTCCAAATTTTCCTAAACTTTTGTAGGCTACTTCATCTGTAGAAAACAATTCGCGGGCATCAAAAATAGATTTTAGAAATTTTCTAAATGAAAATCTTAAGTACGATTATTTCGAGAGAAAAAACGTTCTTACTGAAATTCTTGCACAAATATTTTCCCATTATTAATTACAGAATTGCACATTTTAAACATTTGCTCTAAGCGATCTTCGAGCATGTCGATATGATTTACTGCTTGTCGAAGTTGATTTCTATTTTAGAGATAAGATTTTTTATTCGAACGACATAATAATATTACATACCGATAAGCAGGAGAATCTTTGAGACATTCTTCAAAATCAATTGTATTCATTATAATCATAAGACTAAAAAGAAAAATTAATAATATCGTCAGTAACGAGGATTTTTCTCTCGTTGTTATTCTCTTCTTCTTATATAATCTAATGGTTATCGATTCGAGTATAGTTGTCACATTAGTTGATGTAGGTTATGCCGGCAGCTAGTCAATCAATTTTCTTCTTTCATGTTTGCTCATCGTATGAACGTGTGTGTTTAGTGAAAAAGAAAAAAATGAGTAATCACATCGAAACAATGGAAGAACAGCATATGTTTGTTAGAATGAGTGCTTGACCTCCTGTCGGCATTAATTTCACGGAAGCTACTTACTTGATCGATCACACTATTGAATTCAAATGGTAACTCGTCGCCGTATTGACATAGTAGAAAAACAAATGAAATTAAAAAAAAATTGATCTAGAAAAGCAGATGGCAATGTCCATAGGGTATCTTCTTTCTATTGTCTACATAAAAATTAGCATATAAACGACGTAATATTATAGCTACGCATATTAATAGACACTTAGTATAAGTTCTCACATATATATGACGATGAGAAAGCACACACATTTACGATAGATTCTATTTTAGAAGAACTATAATTAAAAAAGCTCTAGTCAAACAGTTCTTCTTTGCCTTCCTCCTCCTATTCACTATTACTCTATATACACAGAAACGCATCATCATTTGTTGTTGTCGTTTATGTTCTTTTTATCATTTCACAGGTTCTTGTGATGTAGTATCAATTAATCTAGAAGTAAAGAAAGATAATCAATCTTGTTTTTCTCTCTTTGAATACATTAAATTGTATAATTCGAGATTAATTTGATCGTAAATCAAAAAATAATATTCCATTTCATACGAGTAGCTTCAGCTTGATCCAACAAAATCTGTTGAGTCGACCTACTTTTTCAATTATCAAGCGTAATTAATTAATATAAATATCCTACTAAGTGTTAAATGATATATTTGATTCATTACTTCGATATCATATCATGTTTCTTTATCATGACAAAACAAAATATTTGACTTTAGATTTTTTACAGAAAAAAAAAGAAAAGAATTTACTGATTCATCGCTTGCATTCATACAAGAGTGCTCACGTATACATAGACATGCATGTCTGTCTGTCTACATGCAACTTCACGATCATACCTGTTGGTTAAATTCAAGCAAACAATCAGCTGATCCTCTTTGGTCTCTAGATGTCGTCAGATCTCATAACATTGAACTCATTTTTTTTTTGAAATATTTATTTGAAAAGAACAGAATATTTTGGCAAGGTTGTTTTCTATTATGTTAACATGTGCATGTCGCTTTAATATATTCTTTATTTAAAATACTATCGCGTTGCTGAAGAAGTTTTTTTCCGTTTGTTTTGCAATCTGTATGTGTATTTATTATTGTAAATACAAGTGTTATTTTTAGTTGAAAAAATACGCACAATCAGGTGTGCGGTTGATTTAACGGCTGTTTACACTACAAGAATAGGGCATAGGCGGCGGAACGTTTCTAATTTGGGGGAGGCTCAAATTGTTTTTTGAAAATAACGACAGAAAGTCGGTACTAGAGGGAGAAAGCAGAGTTTCAAATGCACACCTTCAGAGCAATCGAGAATTCTACTACACTATCAAAATTTTGATTTCATTATCAACATAAGCATACAAAATCTTAAACCATGACTAAAGGAAATAAAAAAGTCGTAACTACAAAAACTATTATTCATGCCCAAAAAAGGCTTTTCTACTCTAATTTTTTTGCAATAAAATCAGAACAAACGCTGTTCAAGTCTAACTGATCGAATTTTTCTTTATGAATAGGAGACATAAGGACATGATTAAACAGTTGTTGTGTCATTGTTGATCGTAGTCCCCTTCATCGTCATAAAAGAAGCTTTAGCATCAATAAGTGAAAATATTTCAAAAACATGCAGCATACACATCCTCAGGCTGAATATTACTTCGGAGAAAAAATAGCATCGCTTTTCTAACCTATTTCACTTATCAAATATAGAATTACAATGAAATCAGAATTTGTTTTCAAATAACTGGGTCTCACGAAGCCTGCCCTAGCCTAACGGCTCCACCGCCTATGGAATAGGGCATATGGTTTAGAGTGAAATATCTATGCAAACCCATTTTAACCTTGTGATAGAAATTTGCACAGTAAAATGATATTTCTGTAACGAAAGTGCTAATAGTTCAAAGATATATATATATAATTTTGTGAACTCGATTAAAGCAAGAACAAATGCAATACAAAATTATTGACTACCATAGAAATGTCGATAAAATCAGACAATGGAGTTATTCTTTTCAGTTAACATCATCATCATAACTCTGCTAGTTTCATCGAGTATGTGAAGTTGGCCAGTAACAGGAAAGGGTTTTCAACAAGCTGATATATCGAACTTTATCAACTAAAGATTCGATAGGACAAGAAGAGTAACGCAGTGTTCAGTTTCATATTTGATGATGACAAGGAGTTCAGTGCGCGATCAGTTTTGGCACAGTTATCGAATTTCACTTGAAACTTATCGATATCATTCGTACCTTTTACACCGATAGACACAGATTGTGGTGCCTTTTGTGGTACATCAGTTAAAAATCTATTTCTTGATTTCTATCATCACACAATCGCTCGTGCATAATTGAACTCTCCGGTTTTGACTTTCTCTCCAATGATGCATGATGAATACTCTTGTGAAAAGCATAATCAGTAAAATCAATAGGATCTGTTGGATTACGATTGGTGAACCAAAAAGATAACTTCACATTTCCATTAAATCACGTCATACTTATCAATTTTTTTACCAATAATACCAATTTTGATTTTCAAAAATGTATATTTATCTTGAGGTTGCGGGTATTGATGAATATTAACATCACACGCACACACATTTTGGCATCCTGAGATACGAAAAATAACCATAACCAGCTAGCGAGTTTTTCTCAGCAATATTTAAAATTAATTAGTAAATTCCAAGCATTGGTTCATCATTACAAGCTAATTTGGATATAGGATGCGTCTAAATGTTTTCCCTTCGCCCTTCGTCACACAGAATGGAAGCAATTTGTATGATTTGGCTAATAAGTAAATGCCTTTCCTATAGGAAAGTAAGAAAATTCGAAAAGATTGATTTATTTTCGATTAAAACCTAATAAAAATTGTTTATAAACTGGATTCGTTCGAATTTTAGTTAACAGATAATAATTTTTGGCATTCTGAATTCGGCTTCTCTGGCTACTCCAAAAGTCTTCATTAAATTGACAACTTGAACCTGCTGTTCTTTCAAAAATGGTAATGTGAGTGTGAATTCGCACTACATCATTTCCCTCTCTTCGCCAAGCAATTATGTATAAATTACTTCGAATTTTGCCATTGATTGCATAACTCATTCCATCGTCATCATCGTTTGCTGATCCTTCCAATTGATTTTTTTATTTTAATCTTGCCTTTGATTTTTTCAGGCCAATCATAAAACTCACTTTGAACATATTCGTCAATCGATTCCGGCGTATCCTTTATAAGTTTATTGGAATGACTGACTTTTTCTTCAAAACTCTGTTGACAGTTTCCGGAACTCGATTTCATATTGTTATACCATTCATAGTCTGCCTTATAATTTTCTTCATTCTTAACCCATTCATCGTACATGGTGGTCCCATAGTGCTGGACAGTGTTGCTGGATTCTAATTTCTCAGCATCTTTGTCTTTAGTGACAAATGATTCTTCTCCCTTTGAATGAATTATTATTTTGTTTTTCAAATATTCTCTTGTGTCTTGTTCATTTATTTCGATAGAACAATTCAACGTATGTGCCAAAGCCCGGTTCGATTTATCAAGATATGGACATAAGTAATCACGCATTATTGTCTTGCGATAATGATAAATGAAATATACTATCATAATAATTGTGACAGAATATATCAGAATCTCTGCGATTCGCTGTAGAAACTTCTTCAGCAGCGACTTTTCACTTATCAAATAAATTGTATCACCATCATCAGTTGAAAAAATTAATTCGCTAATACTGATTGATTGCTCATCCGATTGTAGTACGCGATAGCCCTTGTTATCTAGGAAGTGGAACATCGACGATTGCTTAATCCGCATCGATATCAGTTTGGCGCGAACATCCCATGCAGTTGATGAATCAGTCAGTCTGATACGCGCTTCTTTGCTTTTATCAACTTGAATTAGAATAGTGCGAAAGGTGTTAGCTTCTGTTATATTTTCCGCCTTTTCTTCTATGACATTAGCTGGTGCCATATCGAAAAATATAATATTAACAAAAGGTGCAGGTGTGTTGGTGTATGTGGGCGTGAGTGTGAATGAGGAACAGAACCAGATTAATACCCACACCCTCAAGATTTTACTAAAGTGGATTGCAATAATTAGAAAGACTTGACAGATACCTTAATAACTTGCTGATGATATAAAATAAGGAAAAAAAAACGAAACAGCAACAACGGTAAAACGTATGATGACAGTGAATAATGCAAGAGTGATAATATGAAACTGACAAGTGTAGGAAGAAAAGAAAATATTTCAAAGATAAAAGGCAGTCGCAAATATTTGCTTTTATTATTACTTTTATCAGAGAAGAAAAACAAGTTCGAATACAGCCAACAATGCTTTATGCAGTTCGTAGCAAACCAGAAACAAAGCTGCATGAAACGACAGCGCCAGGCGGCACTCGGCTGTAGATTATTCTTAGCCAACCATTGCAACGAAAAGGCTGTGGGCGTTGACATCCTTTTAAAGTAAGCCCACACCCTTGTTAAGGTTATGATATCGAAAAAGTAAAGGGCACAAACCATGTCTAATATCCCAATGAGAAGTTGTCAAATTATATGAGATTCGATGAGATTATCATCGAATTTTGATTTTAATACACAAAAATCCGATTGTAATCTCGTATAACCTCATAGAATCTGACATTTTGCGTTGGAAAATGGAATGTCTAATATTTTCGGAGTATGATTCTACTGGAAAATGTTCGATTTTTTTTTATCGGTCATATCTTAAAAATCATTTACAGATAGAACACAAGACAGAAGACGTAAGAAGACGCCGTAACCTGACGCTAAACTATTTGTAAATATTTGTTTATTTTATCTCATTGGATTTGTTACGCTGTTTATCGATCGGATGTAACGTATTCACGTGTTTGAATATGCGTTTTTGTTTTGTATGAGTTGCTCTTCTCTCTCAATCTCAGGTCGAAAGATCAAATTCAAAATCTTATCAGACCTTAACATACGATTGTTTGCCCTGGGAATATTGATATACAACATCCTCATATTCTCCCTTCTATTATTATTGTTTATATATTATTATATATATTGCACAATTATATTAATTGATAATAAAATCACTATTGAAATTATTCTTTTATATTTATTCTGATATCACTCCGTTACAACAGGGTAAGCTGTTTTTATACGTGAACTCTCGTTCTCGCTTAATATGAGTGTCATCCCCTAATCTTCCGTATCATAGAAGCTACGTTAATTTTAAGTAAAATTTAACGAGTTAAATAAAGATATAAAGTAGAGACCTCACAGAAATGATCACCAAATTCCAGTATCTCGACCGCCGATTCGCCTAGAATTCAGTGGAATTTAAATTTCAACTATTGCTCGATTTTAATTGTTACTAGAATTTAATTATTGTGGAAGTCTCTCTTATAGGAATTAGCATACATTCAAGTAGATCTCTGATGGATTCCTGCAACCACAGAATACGATAACTATGCATAAGATAGTATTCTATAGTATGATGAACACTCTTACTATCTTCCTCCATCACTGTTATTAACTGCCATGTAGGCAAGCCGTACTGTGGACTGTTCGATAGGTTTTTTTCTCGACGAATTCACACATGCACTCGTTCTTTCAGATTCTTTATTTTACACGAAATGACTAGAGCTAGAGCGTTGATCTGGTATTGGTCTTTATCCATTTTACCATTCACTGCCATTGTCACATTCATCTTGACCTTGACTGTGTGCAGCAAAATTCTGAACAACATATCACCATTGGGAACGCATCCTCCAATATCTCTACTTGCCATTGGCCCTGCTTATTATTATTTTGTGTGTGGATTTATCCTTTTACTATCTCAATTTTTAATAATTGTTATTGGCCGAGTTCAATTTCTCTGTCAGTATCAATCTATTATTCGTTACGGCCTCATTTACGCCATTCATGCTGTAGCCTTCGTCTCGTGTGTGTTTTTTCTCATCATGACCGTTGTCAGTCATGACATTCATCCTTATCTTCATTTCATCGGTGCATTTGGGATGTTTATATTAATTTCAGTGTATTGTATTTTTCACACCTTTGTCGTTTTCTATCTCTATGTACATCGATCGAAAGCTCCTGAACATTCGAATGTTATTTTGCCGTTATGGTTTCTTGCTTGTACTGTTTTGCTTGTAATCTTTTTCGTCGTTTGGATCGAAACTCACCAGAGCATTCCGCAATATATTGCTGCTGGAATGCCTTTTCTCTATTTCGTGGGCTTTGTACCACAATTTTGGAAGCAAGCTACAATGGCGAAGCAAACTTATTGTGCACCTGGATCGATGCATGATCCAAGTGAAATAACTGTATGACCATTGGTTACCTTGTTTGTGTACATTGATCTTACTTTGTATATGAAAAATCATTTCTCAATAAACTTAATCACAGCCGAATAGAATCGTTCTTGAAATTTTATTATAAAGCAGCGAAAACTTTATCTAGATTGTGGTAGTAAGAGAAGAAATTGGCGTTCAATATACTTTAACTTGTACATCGTTCAGTTGCATTTTTTTTCTGTTTTGACATGCACTCTTCAGATTTCGGCTATTGTAGATTCAACTCATTTCAAAAAAACGTGGAGAAGTTTTCAAGCTGCAAAAACATCGGATAGTTGCAATCTTGTCCTGTATCTTACTGAGCAAGGAAGAAAAATCCTTTACTCCGTTTATTATTGATTATGTTGGAGGCGCAATTGATCTAATTGATATGAACGAACGTGATCTCTTGTGTACCATGATACTTCGGAATGGAGCTCTACTTCCCTTATATAAAAATGGCGATGTCGTTAGATTCGGGTTACCATCTGTATCCTATGTGGCTCTTTCAACAGTGGCCATCCGAAAAATATTAATCCTAAAAAATATTATGGCAAATACGTGCGTATACGGATAGCTACTTATGCATCAGACCTGCGTATGTAAATAGGATGTTTTTTTGTGGATCCCATTCAAAAGACTAGAGCGTCAAATAGAATATGTTGCATAGTGCAACACGCATTCTACAACCGATAGGCATAGAATTCCTACCTACTCCCAGCCTCATCTATGACGTAAATGTTCTTGTCTCACAATCCTAATTGATGATCGTTTATGCATTCGTGTTGTCACTGCTGGACTGCAATAATGACTGAAATTCTTTATTGAATTCAACAGAACTGTATGTTTGAACAAATAATCAATGTTTATATCAGAACAAGAAGAAAGAACTATTCGAATATAAGAAAAATCTTTCTAGAGAGTTCAGATAATAAAGTAAAGAAGGCTAAATTTGATTTCGAAGTCAAAATATGCCATTTTTCGGCATAGGAATAATCAACTATTCTGTTTTTTAATTTTTTTTTATAAATATATGCTTTGTGATTCTAAGAGTATCGTCAAATTTTGAGTTACAACAGCGTGGATTTTGGCCGAATAACAAAAATATGCCTGTGCGATAGCGATGCCAATATTACTGCGAATGATAATGCAACGGACATCTGATACTCATCATATGAGATTAATTAGTACATGATAATTATGTTTCTCTTTCAGTACTTGTCTACATCATCTAATATGTGTTGCATCAAATTTTCATTTACATAGGTGTCACTGACGGAATGCGAGCAACGAAAGCAATGAATATCATATCATACGCACAGGTAATTCTTTTATTTGAGATTAATTGAACTTCCCGGCTTCTTCATACTTATTATCAGAAAGAAATAACGAATTCTGTTGAATTCTAGAATCCACTTCCTCTCTTACATTCACTGTCTCCGTATATTCATTGATCAAATTATCAGATGAGATAGTTTCATCCATTTTTAAATAAAGGTGAAAACTTGTTCTTGGTCAATGTCATTCTTCACATGTGATGATAATTAAAAAATTGACTACTTATGCTTCCGCTTGTATGTTCACTTATATTGAATCGCTTGCACACAATAATCAGCATATCTCAAAATTTTATAAATTTTACTTTGCACATTATTTTAAATAATTTCTATCAATTGGTCTGCATATGTTTAAACTTTTATTATGATAATGAGTTACGGCATTATCGTTTATTATCAATTGTGCCTCAACTTCCCTATCTCCGTGATACAATTATTGATAAACTTGTATCATTTTTTAGATCTACATCAATTGTCTACTTCGAATTTGATCATTATTAGCAACGCTTATTTTACATGATATACATATAGTTATGTTAAGCAAATTCTATGTCGAGCTCGTCATTTTCTTTGATATCATAATCAAATAACAAAAAATTATTTTGTTGCTTAATGTGAAATTAAATGTTTTGTAGTATTGAGAGTATGGTGTAGATCAGTATGTTTGAATATAGGGGTACGATTGATTAGACTTCCTTAGCTTGATAAGGAAGAATCAAAGTTTACTCTTCTAAACCGTTCAAAAGTTCTGCAGCTTCTCTTGTCGCAGTTTCGGGTGAACAGCCAAGTTCAATAAGCATTTTGACGAGTTCTGTTCGAAACCGAGCCATTGAAGTACAGTATTATAAAACGACCGTGCATAAATAAGAGCTTTACATTTCCATGAATCCATTGGCATCGGTTCGGAAAGTGAATGTTTCTTAATAGCTTGAATCAAATTACACCTTGATTCTGTGTAATCGTCGAGAATATGATTAGGTCTTCTCCTGTTTGTCTTAAGGGTAGATGCACAAGCACAGTCGATAAATTCAAATTTCGATTGATTACGGACGAGATCTTTATTGTCATTCCACCGTGAATCGAGCGGACGATCGTTATCACATTTCGTTACTACCAACAAACAAGGCATTCGCTTTTCGCATGATTCGTCTATAAATATACGGTAATTGACTTTGAATCGTTCACCAGTCAAATGTCCTTTTTCAGCACAAAAAATTATAAATCGATACCAGTTGGAATGGAATATGCAAGTCTAACTAATTGAATAAAAGCCTCAGCTGTTGAGACACTACCATCACCACTTTCTGAAAGACCAGGAGTATCATACATATTGAATTTCACATGAGGGCACTCTTCTAATATTCCCGAAACTTTTGTTCTTTCGGTTGTACATCCGACTGCTCTATTGTTACGTTTTCATCAAAAAATTGATTAATAAGAGTAATTTTACCGATGCCGGATTCACCAAAAGTTGATTTGAAAAAAAAACAGTTTGATATTTATTTGCATTTTGATTCAATAAATTACGGTATTTCATCATTTTTTTGTTCTATCTCGCATACGTGTGATTTTATATTACCGAGTTAGATACGGCCGAAGCAAGCAAGGTTTTTTCCATTTCATCTTTGATGATCTCATACTTATTTGCATATTGTCTTGCATCATCTAAATATAGTTATTAGGATTCATTATACCTAACTTGAATAACATTCTTTCTAAAGGGTTTTTTCAAAATGATATCTCGAGGATATGCGTGTCAAGCAGAGATCTCAATGTCTGTGTGACTGTGAGTCTTCTGTTAATTCACATCCACATTGTGAAAATTTTACTTTTAAAGTTCTCATCAGTTCAGTTGAAGAAAAAGCATTTTTTTTACTCAATGTTTGTATGATAATAATGACTAGTTCCTATCGACTTGAGCTTTGTTTTCCTTATCTTTTCTTTCTAGTTTTATTCCCAGTGATGTTGATTATGTGATATATATATATATATATATAAAACTTCGTTTTTATAGACATTTAATTGCAGTGTTATTTCATTGGAGTAAAGGTAATGGCAGAGGCAAGCAAATAAACATGTGCCGCAAAGTGAAATTGTTAGAAATTACACTGATGAGTGTTATTCAGTTCGAGGTTCACTCAAAGACTATCCACATATTTCTTTGAGAATGATTGATACTGTTGTTTTTTATAAAAGTTTAGAAGGCACTGTACGATCCAATAAAGGAATGGAAATGTTAGAAAAACAATTAGATAGTCTATATGCAAAAGATGATATTCATTTTATTTTATTTTGCATTCGAAAAGATCGATAATCCATCCCAGCAAACAAGTCAGTATTATCATAGCATTGTTCATGATTTGTGTGAAGATCACGTACCATGCATATTAGTAATTACTCGCTGTGAAGACGATTATCCTTTAGGTGCATGGTGGGAGGAAAATAAAGGCAGGTTACTTGAAAAACTGCAATTCTATGTGAAAGATGCTGTAGCCGTGACAGCATTAAAAGATGAAGAGAGTCTAAATGACTATAATCAATCAAGAAAGAACCTGATCGCAGCCATCCAAAAATATGCATTGAAAGATCCATGGCGTGCTAAAGAGTTTAAACAGAAATTAAGTTCCTTTTTTAGCAATAGAATTATTCATAGACCGAATGTGTCACCGAGACAACCGGAACCATTATGGAAGTATTTACAAAGACCAATGGGCGCACCTCCTTCTGCGAAACGAATCTGGTCATCATGGTTTTCTTAAGAATGAAATGATATCTATCGAGTTGTTTCGTATTTTGACAATAAACTATCACATATGTAAGGGTTTTATACAAGTTTATGATTGGTTTTCCATTTGTGACTTATCTGATGGTAAACCGAGTCTATTCGATATCTTGACGGTGTGAGTGTGCCACATAAGTGACTCAGGGTGAATGTGATTGTCGAACCCTAGGTGCATGATGTGAAAGTGGTCGTAATGGCATAGATGGTTCATACCTACACCCTAGGTAATGCCTTAGTAGTTTATATAATAATATTATGTAAACAATGCTAGGTCAGTCACACGACAACAACATGGTACATAAGATTGATATTAGCGAAAAGATAAGATGTCTTACACGTACTTTGTAAACATGGTGAGTGAGAAACAGGCCTACATATGAAATTCGGCAACAGGCAAACACAAAATCACAATTGAATGTGAAGAAGTATGATCTATAATTCTACCTGTTTCTATATAATAAAACTAAAACACATTAACGAACATACCTCTCCTTTCATCAACTAACTAGATTTCATATTATATCTTCGATGCCGACGCACACACAAGAGCAGTGAAATCATCAGCCACTACCGAATCATGATTTTACCAAAATATCATTCACATCCGCATCAATCACCACTGTATGTTAAATATGGATATTTACAAAGAAGAAATTTCACCATTTTAAATATTACTAACATTACTGAGAGATTGGTGGAGATCTTTGAATACGACGGAATATCATTTAAAAGGTATCCATCGCAAAGTAGTTTATATATGTTATCTAAAGCGATCTAGTCGATTAGAAAATAATTCGTCTTGCGTTTCAACTAATGAGTGACTGTTTGGATAAAATTGATCAAAAACAAAGTGAAATGACAACATCAAATGCAACTTGCATTGATAAAACTTTTCAGTATGCTGTTCAAACATCCATCTAGCGATTTTTAAATACTCAATGTGAACAAGCGGAAATTTTTAAATATATATATTCTTGCTGGTTATAATTGGTATTTAAGAAAAATGTTAGCTGTTGAAACATTTCTTACACTCAAACCATTATCAAATATTGTTATCGAACGAACAGGGAAAATTTTTTATTAAAAGTAAACCATTTTTTATGATAATCTATAAATAGCCAGATTAAAAATATTAATTTATTTAAAATTTTTCTAAATTTGTCTATAAAACTAAAGCACAATATTTTAAACCATGACTGACAGTAACTTTGCCTACTTTCTACGATAGTAAAATCGTTTAATTAATAGTGAAACCGGCGAATGATGAGATCGCGACAAATCTGATAATTATATCTAACAATGGAAGGTTGTGAACTGTTAAGCAGTAAAATTGACCTTGTTCCGGGGAAATGATCACTCTCATCGAGAAACTAACGTATTTAAAAGATTAGCTACCCATGGTTTACCTGGACAGAGATATTCGATTTTTCAGTAAGCTTTCTCTGCAGGACCTTACTTTCGAAGCAAAATCAAATTTTTGAATTTCGACCTGAAACTTTGTAAACATGAAAACCTCAATGAGGCTAGCACATAAAACAAATTTCAGCATTTTTGAACAATCTTTCATTGAGATATGAAATTCTCAAGATATGCAACTTCTATAGAAAAACGCCAATATTTTCAGAGATGGACATCTCGAAGAGGNCCTGCAGAGAAAGCTTACTGAAAAATCGAATATCTCTGTCCAGGTAAACCATGGGTAGCTAATCTTTTAAATACGTTAGTTTCTCGATGAGAGTGATCATTTCCCCGGAACAAGGTCAATTTTTCTGCTTAACAGTTCACAACCTTCGATTGTTAGACAAAAAAGTATCAAAAAGTGACTTTTTTGACAAATAATTTTTACATGGGAATAGCATCATCAACATCGCAACACATATACCGACAAAATTTAATGTTATCATATGATCATTATGATTGAATTACACACAACACAAATCAATAGTTCATCAAATTCATCTGCATCTCGACATTAATGCTCAAGGATAATTCACAGTGTCATTTTATTAACAAAAGAAACACGAACTATATTCTTACACCGTATTGACCTCAATCGACAATACGCACTACGCCACATCCACTTCATTTTCGTTCAATAGACAAACATTATAAATATTAATGATTCCATTTATTAATATATCGATATTCTTGTGATGAATTCAATTGGATGCAATTTATATGTTGTCGAGTGATCTAACTTACGACAAATACAATTGTGATGAATACAGCCAACTGAATATGTACACAAGAAATTAGTTACATGATCACAACCAATGTATTAGCCACTGCACTTGAAAATTTATTTATTTATTTCTTCATTCAATAGATCAAGAAAATTATACAACATCCAAATTATCAACATCTATTAGTCAGGAACACATACCAAATGCATTGATCGGTACACAATATCATATATCATGAGTACTTGATACATATTCAAAGAAAACTATCATTACAAAAATTTATTACGACAAAATCTTGAATTTAAATTAGTTTGAAAGTATTAAAAGACAATGACAATCTAGCTTCATTAAATGTCAATTGATCGTGAATCAACATCATTAGAAAAAATATAAATGCAAACGAAAGTCCTATACAATATCTTACACTTGCCACAACAACATATATCCAAACATTGAAAAATCATACAACATATCCAGCATCTCGTCTACGTATATCGGTATCAATAGTCGCTGATGATCAAACAAATTCGACTCTTCAATTTAATTGAACTCAAGATTAATGTGCGAGGGCACATCTGATGGGGAGGGGAGGATTGTTAGCGGATATGATTCACCCTCAATCATGCCTCTCGATGTCTTTACATATCTCTCCCTTGTTATGCCCATATTGCCATTGTTATTCTCTCTCTCTATATATATACATATGTGTGTGTGTGTTAACTAGGAGGAGATTCGATAAATAAACGTAAAGCTCGGACACGACGAACTAACAAGAATCTGTATGAAAGACGACGACGCATTCAAACATGATCAGTATAAGCTTATAATACAGAAATCGCCTTGAGGGTATCGGTAAACAGCAGCTCAATAGCTCGTACTAGATGTCTCTTTTTATCTAATGATTGACTCGTTTCATACCAATATTCTTAGTAAATAGATCGTTTATCTAGCTCGATAGATACATAAGAGTTTTGTCGTGTGTGAAGCATAACCAGACTTTCATATAATTATTTTCAAGTGCAAAACGTTACGCGGAACGTACTTTTGCAATTCTTTAAATATTTTTATGGACGAGAAAACCGATTCTTAATTGGTTACTACAGACGCGTTGATCTTGATGTATGAAACAAATCAACCATAAAATTTTCAGTTAACATTCCAGTTGAATGACAAAAAGAACGACGGATAATCACTTATTTGCCCTACAAATAAAATTATCGATTTCGAGCTCCGAGATAATTACAGGTGTAATCAGTATGATTCTCTATTGATGGGTTATCATACCCAGGTCAATGATTCCGGAGGACGGATACTGTAGGAACCGGCCGGAAAGATGCGGAAAAATCACCGTATCTGGCCGGAAAGCATGGGAAAGCACTGGA